ACAAATGACAAATAAATATATGAAAAAATGTTCAATATCATTAGTCATTTGAAAGATACAAATTAAAGCAACACTGAGATTCCATCTCAACCCAGGAAGAATGGCTATCATCAAGAAATCAACAAATAAATGCTGGTGAGGCTGTGGGGAAAAAGAAACCCTTCTCCACTGTTGGTGGGAGTGTAGACTGCTGCAACCACAGTGGAGATCAGTCTGGAGATTCCTCAGTAAACTAGGATTAGAGGTCCCATTCAACACAGCTATTTCCCTTTCAGGAAATAGTAGTTATTTTTCCAGAAGAACTACAAACATCACACCACAGTGATATAGGTACACCCATGTTTAAAGCTGTGCAATTTGTAATAGTTAAACCGTGGAAGCAGCCCAAATGCCCATCAACTCAGGAATGGATAAAAAAGATATGGTATTTTTATGCAATGGAATATTACTCAGCTATAAAAAAAGATAAACTTGAGGCTTTCATAGGTAAATGGATGCAACTAGTGTCCATACTTGTAAGTGAAATAAATCAGACCCACATGTATAAATACTGCATTGTCTCACTAGTGTAAGAACCTGAAAGAGTGAATAATATCTGAAAGGTATAATAGATATTGTGAAAGGGAAAGAAACTGCTCAAAAGGAAAGAACAACTGGGGTGAGGGAAAAGAGAGAAAGAAAGAAGGGAAAAATGTGTGTGTGTGCATATATATACATATATACACACACATAGGGTAGCTAAGAGAGTTCTACTACTGACTTCTATTCTTTATTGAAAGGAACAGTTAATGTTTAATTGTTTGATTAATCTTACATGTCTATATTTGTTTAACTGAGTAACCAATATGAAGATAAGAATATGTAATATAACAGCCATTGTTAATTTGCTATCATCGTGTCTGAAATTCTGTACTGCTTCTATTGTTTGGGTGTTGTTTTGTTTATGTCTGTTTGTTTATGTGTTTTCATTCTTTTATCCTTATAATAAAAAAAATTCCCTCTGATGAATGCTATCATTGTGTATATCTAAAATGTACCAATAGGGGAGCGCCGGTCTTCGGACCAGTGGTTCACTCCCGGCCTCGTAGGCCCCCGGAAGGAGAGCTTCCGGCACACAGGGAACCATGGGCGGGGAGCGCCGGTCTTCTGGCTGGCTAGCTTCCTGCCTCGTAGGCTCCCGGAGGGTGGGCCCCCAGTGCACAGGGAACCTCGGGGGGGGGAGCGCCGGTCTTTGGACCGGCAGCTCACTCCCAGCCTTGTAGGCCCCCGGAAGGAGGGCTTCCGGCGCACAGGGAGCCACTGGTGGGGAGTGCTGGTCTTCCGGCTGGCTAGCTTCCTGCCTCGTAGGCCCCCGGAGGGAGGGCCCCCAGTGCATGGGGAGCCATGCGGTGGCGAGCGCTGTTGC